GGTCCCTCCTGACAATCTGTCCAAAGTATGAGAGACGAAGTTTGGCCACCTTGGCCTCCAAGGAGCACTCTGGCTGCGCTTCTTCCAACACAGATCTATTGGTTCTTTTGGCAGCCCATGGCACTTTGAGTATTCTCCTCTAACACCATAACTCAAAAGCATCAGTTCTTCTACGGTCGTCCTTATTCACTGTCCAGCTTTTGCATGCATATGAGGTTATTGAAAATACCATGGCTTGAGTCTGGTGTGGGTAGGCACTTGATAATAGGAAGGTTTGCTACTGAAAAGTGATCCCAGACAATCAGTGGCATAGAGGCTCCTCTTTCAGAAAGTTGATGTGATTGAGCTTATGTAACTCAAACAGAATAATTCCACATGAATGAAATGACCTTCAGAGACAAAGATTCCAAAAGTTTCCATTAATCCACAAATACTGAGTGTCCAGTGCTTGGGATGCACTATGAGTAAAGATATTCACCTTTTAGCTAAACCATCATGTTGAATTTTAGTCTTACAGTGCCTTGTCTTGTAACACTTGCATTCAGTCATTAGCCAACATGTATGGAATCTTCTAGGTCATCTCTATTAAGATTTGAAAGTTCCCTCAAGTTACAAGTAGTAGTTAAATGGGGGACACAGACCTAGAAGATCCTGAAAATAATAGAGCGTAATGAGTACTATGAAACATGGTATATGGTGGTCGTGGTTAGGTGCTGCCGAGTTGGTGCTGACTCATAGAGACTCTATTTAGAGTTTCCAAGGCTATAAATCTTTAAGAAAGCCTCATCTTTCTACCATGGAGCCACTGGTAGATTTGAACTAGGCTGTTATATAAACTCTGAAAAGTGTCCATAGAGCTAAAATTCCTGACATTGTATACAGGCATTGTATACTGGTAGACTGCAGTTAACAGCTCCACTCGTAATCCACTGTGCTACCAGGGCTCCTTGAAACATGGCATATAGAGGTGATGAAATACAAAGGAGAAACCCATTTTATTCACTTGAGAAGTTGGTGGTGTCTTACTTAAGCTGGTGGCAGGGCTGGGAAGGGCATTTTCAGTAGTAAGCATGAGCAAAGGTCTGATGACTGTAGAGTGTGTGGCATATTCAAGAACAGGGGTGGTGGGACACTGATGGGAATACTTGAATTGGGTGGAGCAGGTTCATATGGTTAGGAGCTGCCACATACGAGGCTGGAAACAGGTTAGACCATAGTGGTGGAATTGTTGTCAAGCGCCACTGAGTTGGTTCCGACTTGTAGCGACCCTGTATAGGGGTTTCTGAGGAGCAGCTGGTAGGTTGGAACTGATCTGGTAGTTTGTAGTGGATCCTTCAGTGCCGTACCAGGAGTTCATAGTATGTTGAGAGCAAAAGAAATAAAAGTAGGATTGGAGTGCTGAGGAGGGAAGATGTGGACTTCTCTACTTTGGGAAATCTTATTCATTCTAATCAGTTCTTCCAGGATCTAGCCAATAGCCAGGAAAAAATAGTACTTTTCATTTTGTTCTCTCCATGTATTTTTGTTCAGCGGTTAGCCACAGTAACAACAAATAACAATACCCATGTATCTCTTCATTTTATGTCTGCCCTTCTCTGTAAACTTGTGAAGCCCTGGAGGGAAGGGATTTTTCCTTACCTATTTAGGTTACTTAAGGAGCTCTGGTAGCGTAGTGGTTACGAATCGGGCTGCGAACCTTAAGGTCAGCGGTTCGAAACTACCAGCCGCTCCGCGGGAGAAAGATGAGGCTTTCTACTCCTGTAAAGATTTACACCCTCGGAAACCCTGTACAGGGTCGTTATGGGTCGGAACCGATTCGATGGCACTTAACAACAACAACAACAACATTTAGGTTACTTGGCTACATAATAAAACAAAATTATCTATATGGCATCAAATTGATTGTAACAATTCGAGATTAGATGGGAACTCTAGGAGTCAGTGACTTTATGTTGTAGGAACAACTCAGAAAGGGAGGGTGGGAACTCAAAGGCTGCACAACTTGAAGAATATAACAAATGGCATTGAATTATACGTGTAGAAAGTATTAAAATTGTGAATGTTTGGCTATGTATATTTCAACAACAACAACAGCAAAATAAATTAATAATAATAATATTAGAACAAGTTGCCAGTGAGTCCATTGTGACTCATGGTTACCCCATGTGTGCAAAGTAGAACTGCACTCCATCGTTTTTAAACTTGTAACCTTTTGGAAGTAGACGACCAGGTCTTTTTTCCAAGGCAACTAGATTTCAACTGTCAGTCTTTCTGTTAGAAGTTGAGGGCTTATGTTTCTTAATTTGGGCTGTTTTATAGATTTATATCTCAACTAAGGTGTCTTTCAAGTCAAATTTTAAGATTATATAATTTTAAATAACAGCATTTTCCCCTTTGCCTAGCCTTATTTTTAGTCTAAATGGCAGGCATTGTAGCTTAGATACTGAACAATTCCTTGGGCAGCATCGTCTGTTGGGCATGACTTACTCTTTTTCTTAAGTGGTACTTGTTTGAGACTCAGAGTTCTTTGTCTAGGAAAGTGAAATGTTCACATTTTTGAAACTCTAAAAATAAAACACTGGAGAGATGATGCCAAAACAATGATTTCAATCAGAAATGCATTCTGAATATAGTGTCTAAATGAGAACTAATTACCAATCAGATCACAGTTACTAGGCATTCATTGTTTTAAGTCAATTAACAGTGATGAGAAACTTTAGTAATGAAATGTTTTAAAAACCCTGTAGTTTTGTTCAGATTTCTAATCAGTTGTGATGATCAAATTGTTCTTTAAATGCAAGATGCAATATGAATGATTATGCTTTATAATAAAGTTTTAATGGGAATAGCATTCTTATTCTCTTAGTACATAGCTTTCCCCAAATCAAATCACACTGATCATGCATTGCTTTACTTAAGATTAATTTGGAAACAAGTGCTCTTAATTTGCTGTAGATTTTACTAAATTTGTTGTGTTAAAATTTACATATGATAGCTTCCTGTAAATTTAAAAGAAAAGTACAAGGGACTTCAAAAAGCTTGTGGCAGACCAGCCTGGAGCAGCTAGAGAAACAGAAGATACTTCTTGAAAGAACAACCAGCAGGAAAAATGAAAAACAATAAAGGCAGTCTGATTGACTACCACAAGAACAAGCAAGTTGTTCACTGGGGAGCCATCAAGGCAAGCAATCATGTCCTCTCAGGGCAAATCCCCTTCCATGACTGAAACTCAAAGGGAATACACAAGCAGGCATGTAATCTTGCTGGTGACCACGTTGGTCTACTGGGGGAAAAACAGCAATGAAGCTGTGAGCTAAGTCTGACCACCAGTCTATTTAATAGTAGACTCCTGTCAACCTGGATCGTGACCTGGTTGACCAGCAGTATAGTGACACCTGGGGACTCCTGAGCCCATGGACAGAGATATAGTCACAGAGGACTGGAGCGGAGAGTGAAGTGTCCAGCTGATATGAAGTGAGGGGAGATGCACAGGAACACCCATACTTGCAGATAGTACCCATTTGACCTAGGTTCAATGGCTGCGTGATTAGAACTCAACTAGAGGAAGAAAGAAGAGGAAAAAAAGTGTATATCTGCTACAATTTGATGAACTTGACTTATACTTATGGATGTAGTAGCTTAAAAGAGGGAACAAATCTTCATAGCAAGGATCATTCCCACCCCCTCTGTATACAGGGTTGACAGGGATGGGCAACTTAGACATTGGCTATCCAAAATGGGCGGGAGAAAGATGAGGCTTTCTGCTCCCGTAAAGACTTACAGCCTCAGAAACCCTATGCAGGGCCGCTATGAGTTGGAACCGACTCCACAGCACGTAACAACAACAACAACCCAAATTGGGGGGGGGGGGAGTGCAACAAAGGCACAAAGTGACTGGCTTATAAGTTTTCAAGAGGGAGCTTAGTTCCGGAGGGTGAAGGAGAAAGTAGAATCTCCACGGAGTGGTTTCCAGCCTGTCTAGATGGTACTGCAGAAAGGAGATGGGGATAAGACTCTTGTGGTTCAATAATGAATAACTGGTATCAGGACTGATTGTGAATGCTGCAAATGTAAAGGTAGATGTTTTGTAACAAAAGGAGGGGAGTCCTTTTTGCAGTCCAGGAGAGGAGGACCCTGGGACCATCACGGGAGAAGAGCAGAGTATGGGACCCTATCCAGAGATGGAGGCAGAGACGATGATGTGGAGAGATGGAGCGGCTAGGGACTCTGGACTCAAGGAGGGAGAGGGGCTGTGGGCTGATGGCCAGGGGGCTGGCATGCAGAATATACCCTTTGGTTGTTTGAATGGTTATATATTTTCCTGAGTGTTTGGGTGCACATCCAAATGCCCGCCCCCCCAAAAAAAAAACAGAGGGATTGGGAGCAAATGGTGTTGACTGATGATGCATGGAGGGGATTGTAATCATTGCATTGAAACTAAATATGATAGGATAATGTAAAGCTGATGCTGTCCCATGTAAACTATTACTCAATTCACAGTAAAAATATAATTTAAAAAAAGCTTGTGGAAAAATTGAATGATAACAGAATGGAATTTCCCCCATGCACTCTTTGAAGCTCCCTTTTACAATCTTGGATGAACCTGCTAAAGAAACTCTCTGGTTGGTTTATCAAGCTTGAGATGTAGACACAGGGGATAACTTTACTAATAGTCCTTATTGATATGTCTAGTAAGACTTAGCAACATTAACTTCAGAAGATTTTGCTCTATTCTTGTCTCTATATTTGGAAACATTTGCTGTTTATTTAATATATGAGACATAAATATAAGAATATAAGTGATCAGCGTGACAACGTAACTTATTCTTTACTTAATAACTTAATAAAAACTTTGAGGTCATTTAGTAATTAAATTCTGGATATGAGCTGTTAATTAATGCTTCTTCTTTTTTTTTTCAACAGATGTGAATTATTAAAAAGAAAATGGCCCAGCGGAGCCCTATATTTCCTTCTCTTGTCACCAAGGAAAGGTATAATATATGGAAAATATGCATCTAAGGTATACTTTTTCTTTCCACCAATCCCATGAGGGCCGCTAGTGGGTGTGATGTTTATTTAAATGAAGCTTTATGGCTGTGACTTTATTCAAGAATTGTTTTGTCCAAGGGTAAGAGGAGTATTATGTCCCCTCTCCTAGCTTGTAATTTGAGGATGCTGTGGACCACTTAATGAGCCCAACTGGTGGAGATTTCACAGTACCCTTACAGTCGGGTTGAAGTTCCCATTATCAGTAAAATAGAAATGGGTACTTGCCAGCAAATCATCCCTGTTAACCTTATAAATTACAAGTTGCAACCCAAGAGTCCACAGGCCAAAACTGGCTCACAGAAGTAGATTACTTATTCTTAAATATTTTTTAAATGGGTTGTCAACATTTTAAAAAGGTGGCTCTGGATCCTCTGGCTCTTGAAATATCAGAAGGTCTGGAGAAACTGATGGTTGTTCATGCAATCCACAAGTCCTTTTAGCTGGGGAGCATCCTTACTCCTTCTCTAAAGTTCCCATTATTCTCTGTTGCCTCATGTTCATTGCTTCACTCATTTATGTCGCCTGTAGGCATTTAAGGTTGTAACTGCTGCTTTAGAGAGAAGGAGGAGAGGGAGAATATAGCAGGAGACCTTGTTAATGAGTTTCATCTTGAAAATACAGCCTGGACTGGGAAAACAAGGAACCCTGGTGGCGTTACACATTGGGTTGTTAACTGTAAGCTGAGCCATTAGCATCTGCCAGTCACTCTGCGGAAGAAAGATGAGGCTTTCTGCTCCCATAAATATTTACAGCCTCGGAAACACTATACAGAGTCACTAAGAGTTGAATCCCACTTAACCCACCACCCAACCCACCCAACCGCCACCACCTATTCCTAGAGGTTATGGAGCCTGGGGCCAGCATGCTGAAGTCTCTGGGTACCATTGTTTACAGATGCTGCCTGACTATTGAAGACAAACTCTTTTGAGCAGAAACTCATTTAGCTTGTAGGGATTGATAACTTTTATCATTTTATGTGGGGAGATTGAATCTGGCTTTAATTTGTTTCTCTCTCCCTAGTGAGCAACCCTCATAAAATGGTTTCCTCCTTTAGGCGAGTTAGAACCATGCCCCGACACAGCCAGTCTCTGACCATGGCACCTTACTCATCTGTAAGTCTAGTGGAGCAACTGGAAGATAGGATTCTCTGCCACGAGAAAACCACCGCTGCTCTTGTGGAACACGCCTTCCGGATTAAAGACGACATAGTCAACAGTTTGCAGAAAATGCAAAACAAAGGAGGAGGCGACCGCTTGGCCAGGCTTTTCTTGGAGGAGCACATCAGGAACATAACCGCCATAGTAAAGCAGCTCAACCGGGATATTGAGGTAAGGCCTGCGGGACACAAGCATGGCCTTCCAGTCCACAGCCTGGCCCTGCCTTCCGTGGTCACTGAACTCATTCTCACCTTTCAGGAAATAATGGGTTTAGACCAAAGCTGTACGTCTTTTCTATTCTTAAAGATCGCCAAGGAAACAGCTTGCAAGAAATAGCCTAGTTCAGTTTATTCCAGTATTTGATGGCAGTTACTGTGGGTGTTATTTAGGGTTAGTCTAAATTTACCTTGTTGATTATTAAATCAACTTTGTTTTGTTTGGCTCTCAATTGGAGAGAGAAAAGAACAAGTTGAGTAATTTCTCCGTGAAACCACTCATATCTTTGAAGAGAGCTATTAAATCAATTATTAGGTCAGCCTTTGCTGCTTCAGATGAAATATTTCTAGGTCATAATGATTATTTATAGCATAGTTTATTATTCAAACATTTTAGCTCTTTGAATTGCTTCTCAGGCCCCCTTTCGTTGCTCAATCTTTTTCTCTGAAATGGGCCTAATAAACGACCAATGCTGACTATTTTTAGAATACGAAATTCTAAATCAACAACAACAATAAATTCTAAATTTACTGCTGTTTATTGAATAATCACAGAACCCATACAGTTTAGTTCAAAAAGCATAAGAGTATTTAGGGCCTGGGCTTCCACCCCTGCACAATACCAACATCCTTCACATGTAATTTTAAAATATATGAATAAAAAATATATGGCTAGCTTAAGCAAAACCTTTGTTTTAAGTCATGGAGATTGTATTTTAATCATGCGTTCTGAAATTAAACCTCATTTCTTTTTTTTTTCATTATCAAATTTATATTTATTTTTAAATCACTTTAATTTAAATGGCACAAAATTCACTCATTGCATTTGTTCAATTCAATAATTTTTAGTAAATTTATAAAATTGTGTCATCATCAACAGAACTCAGTGTTGGAGTCTTTTCATCACCCTCCTCCACAAATTTACATGAGGCAATTAGCAGTCAGCCACTGCTTTCCCTCAGCCCCAGACAACCACTCATCTGCCTTCTAGCTCTATAAATTTATCTTTCTGGACATTTCCTACGTGAAATCATCCATATAAAGTCTTTAGCATCTGGCTTCTTTCACTTGGCATGATCGTTTTGAGGTTCAACATATTCTAGCAAGTATCATTTGTGGACATATTTTCATTTCTCTTGGGTAAATTTCTAGAAGTGGAATTGCTGGATTTTATGAGTTGTTATGAGTCGGAACCGACTCAGTGGCACTTAACAACAACAACATGTTAAGCTAATGTTTAACTTTTTGCAACACTGTCAAAACCGTTTCCAGAATGGTTATACCTTTTTTACAATCTTACCAGCAACATATGAAAGTTCCACTTTCTCCACATCCTCACCAAACCTTGAAGCTATCTGTTGTTTTTTGATAGTTGTTATAGTGGCTATGTCGTGGTTGTTCATTATGTTTGTAATGATATTGAGGAGTCCTGTTGTGGCACTGTAGGATAAGTGCAGGACTGCAAGTTGGATTTGAACCACAAGGTCGGCAGTTCAAACTCACCAGTTGCTCCTCAGAAACCCTATACTGGGTTACTATGAGCTGGAACTGACTCTATGGCACTTAACAACAACAATGATATTAAGCAACTTCTCATTTTCCTATTAGCCATTTGGATCTCTTCTTTTGTGAAAAGTCTATGTTTTGGTCCAAGTCTGGTTGTGGAGGGTAACTACCTTCCTGAAGCCTGATGTCATATCACTTTTTGACTCTAGTCATATTTCTTGCCTCAAAATCTATTTTGTCTGATATCAGTATCCTCCAGCGCTCTGATCGTTACTGTTTGCATAGTCTGTTTCCATTTTTGATCATTCTTAGTTGGCTTGTGCCTTTTGGTCTTGGTCTATTACATAGTTATTGACATTCTCATGTATAGACAGAGATTTACTCAGAATTGCAACCTAATCGAAGTGCCTTTATCATCAGTGCTCTATGATTTCCTGTCTATTCATCTTATACTGTTTAAAGTTAAGGACTGTATTTTTACCAGTAAGGAAGTGTAATGGACCTTTGTTATTCTGGGGGCTGCTCAGCATTCTTTCTGAATGATTTCTATCACATTGCTTTGATTACCTTTTAGGGATTACCTTTCTCCTATTGGACATAGACTGAAGTGGCTTATTTTTATGGAAACCTTTTATTGTGAATTGGGTGAAAGTTTACAGAACAGACTAGTTTTCCATTCAACAATTCAGACACATTTTGTTCAAGCTCATTAATGGCAATCTCCACAGCATCTCATCATTCATCCCGCTTCTTCCCTGTTTTCCTATTTCCATTCCTCCTTCCTTCCTAACCCTTATGGACTTTGTCTTTGAGTAAATATCAAATGGTTGATTATTCTAAGGTATCTGTACCTCCATAGGGTTACTGTTCTCCTTATAGACCTCTCTATTATTTGACTAAACATTGAGCAATGTGGGGGTGTGTGTGAGTTCAGTTCCGAACCTGAAGGGTGACCAAGGGCCCTAGTCTCTGGAGCTCCACCATTTGACCAGTAGTAAGCCTTGTCTTTTTGTGATTTTTGAATTTTGCTCCACATTGTCTCCCACTCTATCTAGTACCTTCTAATGTGATCCCTCTTAGAGCAGTTGGTTGTGGTAGCCGGGCACCATCTAGTTCTTCTGGTCCCAATGTCATGGAAACTGATGTTCACATGGTCCATTAATCTATTCAATAATCGTTCTAAGCAACTTCAACTTTCTTCACTCTTCTTTCCTCTGGATTGAGAGAGACCAATAGATGGTCCCCTTAGATGGACATTCATAAACTTTTAAGATCCCATTCACTACTCATCAAAGTAGGATGTACAACATAGTCTTTGTGGGCTTGTGTTATGATAACCTGGATGTCCCCTGAAACTATTGTCCTGACCCTCAGACCCAGCAGTGGCTATATATAAAATAATTTTTTTTAACTGTGTTTAAAGTAAAAATTGACACAGCAAATCATTCGCATTTATTCTGTTCTGGTTCGATCGTTGCCTGTACTTTGGTTTTCCTGCCTCCTTGCCTTCTCATCTTTGCTTTAGAGTAATTTTTGATCACTTGGTCTCATATAGATGCATTTTTAAAGGAACTCTTTACTCACGGGTAATATTGTTTATTTTGTAAGTCAATCTACTGCTTGGCTGTGTCTGCAGGAGACTGGGCAGTGGTTCTGCTGTCTGGATCCTAACATACATGTTGCTTGTGGGGGATTTTTTTGTGTAATTTTTCATCTGTCTTGATTCCCAGCTGCCCTGTTGATATGTGCCTCTCTCCCCTAGATTCTTCTAAGAAATTCTGTTTGTTTGTTGTCTCTGTAGAGTCAGATTGAATTGCCTACATACAAAGAACTTTAGTGGCATCAGAAAACTTTAAGAAGACTAAGAGATTGCCGTAGATAATTTACTTGTGTTTGGAAGTGGTGTCTATATTTAGAATGATCTTTCTAGTTTCATATTTGGGTGCTAAAACACATTTATCTCAAAGACTGAATAAATTGGCAACTCCAAGCTGGCAACTTTGTAAAATTAAAGAACCCCAACTTAAAGATTTCAAAAATATTTCCCCCTAATTTTTAAAAAATAGACTTTATTTTCTAGAGGAATTTTCGTTTTACAGAAGAAAAAAAACTGTACAGAAAGTATGGAGCATTCGCATCTACACCTCCTCTCTGCAGAGTATTTCTCTGTTAAAGATTTTCCTATAGAAAAGGGTTGGAGGTGTACTGGGGAGCCAGTAGTCTTCTAACAGAGAGGGAGATAGATAAAATCAAAATGATTTAGGATACAGCATGGTTCTCACATTCTTGTCCCCTTAGCCAATGGCAAAAAACGGTGTCCAATAAAGGCACCATTTAATGATGGAAAATAGTGTTTCCTCATTCTGTTCATGCCCCACATTTCCCTATGGCTTCTTAGCTGTGTTCCCTTTACTCATGTGAGTGGATGAACTAGAGACAGAGCCCAAACTATGCTGACATTACTCTCCCCCTTGGATAAAAGCAGAGCGCGTACCTTTATCTTTAGAAAACCCTGGACTTCATTTCTTCTATCAATGCAAGAGATGATAATGCTTTAGCCACACCATTGGATCTGGAGAAAATTTTCCCTTTTGGTAGCTTCTCTAGTAGTGTAGTGGTTACGAATTGGTCTGCAGTTCGAAACTACCATCTGTTCCGCAGGAGAAATATGAGGCTTTCTGCTTCCATAAAGATTTACAGCCTTGGAAACCCTGTACAGGGTTGCTATGAGTCAGAACCGACTCCACGACACATAACCACCACCATGTATTAGTCCAAAGGAGAGTTTATGAGTCGGGCTGCTAACGTCAAGGTTGGCAGTTAGAAACTACCAGCTGTTCCACAGGAGAAAGATGAGGCTTTCTGCTCCCGTAAAGACTAACAGCCTTATCCAAGGTCACTATGAGTTGGAACCAACTCTAAAGCACACCACCACCACCATGTATTAGTCCCGGAGCCCTGTTGTGATGCTGTAGGTTAAGCATAGGATTGCTAATCACAAAGTCCATAGTTCAAACCTACCAGCTGTTGCTCAGAAACCCTATACAGGGTTACTATGAGTTGGAGCCCACTTAACACCACTTCACAACAACAGCATGTATTAGTCCCTCGGTGGTGCAAGTGGGTAACACACTGGCTTGCTAACCAAAAGGTTGGAAGTTCAAGTCTTCTCAGAGGTACTTCAAAAGAAAGGCCTGGGTGATTTACTTCTGAAAACCCAGCCATTAAAAACACTATGGAACACGGTTCAGAATTGACTCTACGGTAACTGGTGGTTTCTATACTAACCTAACAAAACCATTTAAATATAGTAGATAATTTCTAACCTCAGCTGAGCCTTCAATGCTGTTTACTAGTTCCTTCATTCTAGAAAGCCACCCCTGCCAGTATCTCCCTTTCCCCAATTTAACTTCCCTAATGTATTCCTGAAGGAGCTCTGGTAGCGTAGTG